GTTAGAGGGAAGTAATGTGCTAGTGGTTATCTGGGCAGTTGATAATCTCTTAATGAGATGCATCTCTTTGTGAGATTTTGTCGTGATTCATTGCACTGATGAAATGGCACATGCGATGCGTATATGTATGGCATAACAATAGATGGTATCCACTACTATTTGTTTTTGGATACCTGGTGGAGAGATTATATAGATTTAGAAGTATATACATGAAGTTTATGACGCGGTTGATGATCATGCAATACATCACGACTATGATGAGCATGAAAAATAGTGTGGTTGATGCCATTGAGAGAGTGGATTGTATGTGTGGGTAGATCGATCGCTTGAGGATGTACAACTCAAGTGATCACGATAGACCTTCTTGGTTCAATAGGTGGATGTTTTAATAAGTCAAAACCATGTCGAAAACAGTGGGGGAATGTTGAGCGTGGATTTTCTCATGCCCTTAGGGGAGGTTTTGAAATAAATAAACTTATTTTATTTATATTTTTCTAAATGACCAAAATATTCCCTTTATTACTTGACCCATTTTATTCACATTTTGTCATAAAAAAGAAAAACCCATCCGTGTATTTTTTTCTAACTTTTGGAGTAAATAGCTATATACAGTGAGGTAGGGTTTGGGGAGTTTGGTGCGTTGCACCTCTCGTGCTCACTTAACTTCCTTGTTCACTATCTCTCTCTCTCTCTCTAAGCATTTAGAGGTGCTTTGAGTTTAATGGTGCAACCATAGCCTTGCAAGGGACACCTTAATCATCTATCGTGAAGCCATCTTGCTACATCACATCCCTATTGCTTTCTCTATACATTGCTACTAATCCATTCATGTTTCAGGTTTTCCAGCAATGTTTGGCACGCTTATGATGTTCTAAAGGTGTGGAACTACTTGTTCTCTACAATTCCCAGTCGCGGGATATTGGTGACTTCATTCCATACTTTTATTTGCTCATCTTTGTGTGATTGATGACTATGACTGAGGATTTAAATAGATCGTTTGAGGAGCCCTTATTATATACATATACTTATGCTTCTTGTGTGATTGAGGTTACATGCATACAAAGTGTTTGCTAATATCTTCAAATAAGGTTTAAATAGAGATTTTGATCCAATCAGATTTTATATTAATCCATATTAGTAGCCACCCTAAACTGATCCTAACTAGTGTATACAATTTTTAAAAAAAAGGGCATGAAAATGTTATAAATTTATGTGCCATCTAAACAATAGAAAGCTATTTTTATAAGGACCCAGTTTCTATGCGCCCAAGCCCGCATACATGCCTATTAATAAATTGGGAAAATTACATAAAAATCCATTATACTTTGCGTTATTATGGATATACCAAATAGTTTCTGTTATTACATGTATGTCCGTTGTTTACCTTTTATAACATAATTTTTTGAAAAACACCACTTTATCATTTTTCAAATGTTCAACATTCGAAAATAGGCCAAAAGTTAAACTTTAAATTTCTTATTTTCGGATGTTGAACATCCGAAATTCAGGGATTTTCGGATGTTCAACATCCGAAAATACCCCGATAATTTAACGCTATGTATAACATTTTCGGATGTTGAACACCCGAATTTAAGAGATTTTCGGATGGTCAACATCCGAAAATACCCCTGATAGTTAAATAAACCTTCGTCTTCTTTGTTTTCGGATGTTGAACATCCGAAAATCTCTTAAATTTGGATGTTCAACATCCGAAATGTTATACTTAACGTTAAACTATCGGGATATTTTCGGATGTTGAACATCCGAAAATTCCTTATTTTCAGATGTTCAGCATCCGAAAATAGGAAATTTAACATTTAACTTTAGGCCTATTTTCAGATGATGATCATCCGAAAATCCCACCAATTCGGATGTTTAACATCCTACAAAGGGTAAAGTGGTCTTTTTTTTAAAATTGCGTTATTAAAGGTAAAAAGAGGGTATAAATGTAATAACGGAAACTATTTGGTATATCGGTAATAACACAAAATATAACGGATTTTTATGTAATTTTCTCTAATAAATTTATTTTTGAGATGAATATTTAGACTTAATTTTTAATGACATATAATTTCTAACATGGAGATCATAAATATGGATAAATAAGTAAATTTTAAAAACTAGAAATAATAATTCTAATAAGAAAACATTTGGACCGTTAGTTTCTATTGTTTTTAGATAGAGCAACTACTTGCATCCATCTTTAAGATGGATGCTTTACACTTTTTGGACCGTAGATGTAATCATACGGTCTAGCTCGCGTGAAATTTTTTCCTTTTTATAATAAATACTTTTAATCTTTTTCAATAGATCTAAACGGCCCCTAAATGTACAAGTGAGGTGAGGAACAATTCATGTGCAAGTGAAGTAAGGATCAATTAACTGAGAAGGGCAGATGCAAAGAGGAGGCAGGTGGATGTGGAGAGAAAGTCGCACGGTTGATGAGGAGATAATATTTTTGTGCAGAATATTTTTATGCAAAATAATATTACGCACGTTTCATAATTGACAAATATTTATAAACTTTTTTGTTTTTCACACTCGGTACATATGAAAATATTTTTCAAAAAATACTTTTATGTAAAAAAATTTCCCATGGATATAAGATTTCTATCGTGTGATAATATTTTCACACATGGTAGTTCTTTAGGGAATCCAGCTCTCACTGGATTTGGGGGAGTGGTGAGGGATTGAGATGGAAATATAGTGTTCATGTATGCATGTCCTCATACATCCTCTTGGGGCAAAACGCTGAATTTGCTAGATTTGGAGTGGTGAGGGATTGGGAAGAAAATATAATGTTTGCAGGTCCTCTTGGTGAGAAAAACAAAAAACCATGTTGAATTCTTGGCTTTGCCGCTTAAAACTTTTCATAGCTAAAAATTTAGGTCTCTTTGTGTTGTTGAAGGTGATTCTTTGAATGTCATCAATTGGCATAAGATCTATACTGTTACATATTCTTGACTTAATTCAGTCTTTTAATGTCTCTTTTATGCATGTTTATCGGGAGGCCAATATGTTGACGGATTATCTTGCTATGGGTGGTACTTTTCTTAATGAAATTGCTTAATTTCGATCAAAAAAAATATTTTCACACCAATTGCAAGTTATTTGGTGTAAAAAGATTCACAAGGACCAATTAGTGTGAAAATATTCCCACATCTAACTATACGAGGGAATTTTTGCATGTGAAAATATTTCCACTTGAAATAAACATATGGTAAATTTTTTTACCACAAATTGGACCAACATCTCTTGAGGTGGGGATAGTTTCGTGGGTTTATTTTCACATATCGGAGCCACCTGTGTTATCAAATATAATTATTTTTGCTAAAACACTCTTATGAATTAGATAGAGAAACAATATCAAATTTAAGTTTCAAAGAGAAAGTATCTTAAAAATTTAGAGAGAGAGAGAGAAAGCATCTAAAACTTTTAGCAAAAAACTATCCTAAATTTTTAAAAAAACTATATCAAAATTTAAGTTTTAGAGAGAGAAAATATATTAAAATTTTAAAGAGAGACTATATCAAATTTTAGATAGGCAACTTTTTAGAGTAGGAAACTATCTCAAAATTTTTAAAGAAACTAGTTCAAATTTTAAATTTTAGAGAGAGGCTATATCAAATTTTAGAGAGAAATTACTTCAAACTTTTTGGAGAGAAACTATTTCAAAATTTTTAAAGAGAGAAACTATCTCAAATTTAAGTTAAAATTTTAGACAGAGAAACTACCTGAAAATTTTTAGAGGGAAATTATGTCAAATTTTAAGTTTTAGAGAGGAAAACTATCTTAAAATTTACAGAGATTATCAAATTTTAGAAAGTACCTGAAATTTTTTAAAGAGAAACTATCTCAAAATTTTGAAAGAGAAACTATCACAAATTTTAGGTTTTAGAGAGAAAAAGTATCTTAAAATTTTAAAAAAAAAACTATATCAACTTTTGGAGAGAGAAACTACCTGAAAACTTTTAGAGGGAGAAACTATCTCAAAATTTTTCAAGAGAAACTACCTCAAGGTTTTTAGAGAGAAAAGCTTGATCTCAAATTTCAAGTTTTTAGAGGATAACTATATCAAATTTTTTAGAGAGAAAAACTATCTCAAAACTTATGTTTTAGAGAGAAATTATTTAAAAAATTGTAAAGAGATAAGCTATTTCAAATTCTAAATTTTAGATAGATTGAAAAAGAAACTATCCCAAAATTTCAAGTTTGTTGTACACTCTCCATTTGTGCTTGTTTGTCATTTTTCTTTACCAAACTTAAAGCAGGAAAAAACATGCTTGGGTAATTTTCTCTTATAAAATTATTTGTATATGTAAATATTTTCCGGTCAAACTGTCACACGTATGAAATGACCACTTAATATTAGAGAGAGAGAGAGAAAGGTTTTGATTTAACTTATATACAATAGGGGAATGATATAGATTCGGTTTCTATGCGGCCAACCATATTGTAGTAATGCAGGCTTGACAATAAATATATCTTTTAAATATAATTTGATTTTAATTTTTAGAAAATACATAATCTTATGAATTTTATTTTTTTGAAAACTAAAAATAATAATTATATTAAAAAAAATTTGGACCATTAGTTACAATTATTTTTAGATGGACCACCTATTTGCATCTATCTTTAAGATGGATGCTTTATATCTTTGGACCGCATATTGTAGAAATGCAGACCAGCTCACATGAAACAATTTTCCTATAAATTAAAATTTGTACATTGTAATGAAATTTAAAGTGTATATACACATTGTATTATATAAATATATAAAAAATGTCTAAAGACCTGGTAGATGAGGTTGGGCAGACCTATATCTAGACTCAACCTGGGAATTAGTCAGGTCCATGATTTTGCACCAGGACCTGAGTGGTAGGGTTGGGAAGCATTACCCAGACCTAGATCCAGGTTGGGTCGTCAGGCTTACCCGACCTAGACACATGGCGACATACATCAGTATTTGGGTAAGAAATTCAGTATGGATAAGACAGGTATCTCTTAATGAGCGAAAAGTGGAAAATTTCATGAGTCCTGCATTTTCTCCAATCTGCAACGAGTTTTAAAGTTTGTTGCACTCTGCTTCACTTCCCTTATGGCATTACATCTAAAAGAAGAGCAGCTAAATACATGAAGAATGGTAAACTTAATTCACAACAATCTAATATAAATTCTTAATTTACAGAACACAAAAGATTTCCCCTCACTATGTACATCTAACATTGACAATCGAACTAAACTCACAGCTCACTGATTAGATTGATCACATCTACCAAGGCCCAGTTCGTGTCCTCCTCAAACACCTCTTTGGTCCAACTTCATGGTTCGTCATCTCCAGTACCTAGCAGTTCCAGTATAATAAGTTCCAGTATAATAAGATAGATCAGAACAAGAAGCATGACAATGTGTTGATCAAATTAGAATTTCTGCATTTGCTGAAACAAGCGATAGGATGATAATTTTTTATATAATGAAACATGGGAGAAGTAAAAGGAGCACTGTAAGCACTAAGAATAATATGCAAGCAACCATAACAGTGTATTCAAACAGTTTTATCTTCGCTACAGGAACTGCATAAAATATTCGTGATTTGACAGTGCAAGGCTCTATGTAATCTAAAATTTACTTGCCAACCTTGTGACTTTTAACCAGCCAAGTACCATTAGTTTTCACAAGGGTGCGTTTGCCAACAAAAAAAGCATGTTGCCTTCCTTTCCCATCAGAATGCAGTGCGCTCTCAACAGACTTGGCATCCAGCCCATTACAAGGCATTCGAAAAAGACAGTGTTTAGGGGCTCATTAGGTAGAGGCTCATTAGGTAGAGGCGGAAATTACCAAAAAGGGTTTTGGGTACATGCTTGACTACAGCCAAGCTTACCATATGGGTAGGTGCAAAGCACTACATAGCTGATAATTCAAACATTACATCTATGTCACTTGCAGACCACAAAGTAGCTGATAATTCATGCATCAAGATGACGCCTAAGGGCCCATTTGGATGGTATAACAACTCCAACAAGGAATCAGGTTATTTAGTAACTAGTTAAAAGGAGTTTTTTTCTCCAGAACTGGGGACCTTTGGCGGTATTTTATAACAAGTACAGGTCAAGAAAAATCCGTTACCAATGACTGGTGGAGCATATCATGCAGGTCCATTCAAATAGGGTCCGATCTCCTGAATAACTGGTTTCCCTTCTCAGGCAAAGTAAAAGTTGAATACCTCCTTTCAGATAACCAAAATATAAGTAGCTAGAAAATAGATGACCCACTTGAACGCCTCAAGCCATCAAATACAAATCTAATTTGTGTAGCTTCCCAGAATGAAAACTTGATACTAATGGACCAAAGGCTGCAATTTCGGGATCTAACTCGACATTGGCCATCATAGCTTGTGCCACTGCAACAGAGGAGCGAAATTTAAGCAACTAGAAGACATGATAGGCTGCAAAATCTACATAATATATTGATTATTTCCTTTGAAAACACCATACCGCAAAATAAGACTTCTAAAGCTTACAGCCTATTTCCATGGTCCCCTATGCTGCGGTTTGACTACAAAAACAACTCTGTTTATCTTCTTTGACCCCATGGGTTCCTGAAACTAGACCAAGGCCAAGGCTCGTGCACTGCTCACTGGCTTGAGAATGGTGATTCCTTGTCCTTCATGGGTTGTGATGGCGGAACAAGACTCTCACAAAGCAATCAGGAATGGATATTAAGGAGATCTAGGATATTAGTGACAAATTTACTATCATGGCACATTATGGAGAAGATCTTGGATATTAGCAACAAATTTACAATCTCCTTCACCATCCTATGTAAAAGCACAAGGGATGGACTTCCCAGAGCATGTCTTATCACCGTAACCTTGGGTCTCTAGGATAGTTTGTTCTACTGCTTCTAGACTACTAGTATTGCATCCTAGGCTGTTGCACTTTGTCACTTTCTTCCCTGCTTTCCTCCCCTTCTATTCATCTCTTTCCCCTTCCTGTTGCATACTTATTTTTGTTCTAAGCTGTCTACACCCAGTGCCCTTGATGCATACTTTAAGATATCCATGCAAAAATAAAACAAAAACATTGTGTTTAAATGTGTTTTAATGCATTTAGGCAGTCACTACATTTAATTGCATTTAGATAGTCCCTGCAATATCAAACTTCACAAAGAAAATGCCTCTTTTTACAGTCAACTTGCAGCTAGGTCAAACCTTGCACCAAGCCTAGTGCAATCTGTGGAGCACGGATTGCTGACTGTTATGGATAGAAGGAACCAGGACATTGTTGGGGAAAACATACTTAATATGAAACCATTGTGCTTGATGCCGAGCTAGAAAGGATTGGTGGGGAAGATTGTCATCGAAATCTCATAGGCCGATGGCAACTGATGTATTCTCCCCTAAATTAATCATATCATCTAGTAACTGAATATGGGAGGCATTCAACATATCTTCTTCCTTTGGAGAAAGAACTTCAATCAACCTGAGACACCCCTTCCTGAGGATTATGACAAAACCATCTACACATGAAATTTATGTTTACAATGATTGTTCTTTAAACTTATCTTGACCTTGGTAAGAAATAAACTGCTTAACAGGATCAACATCTTTTTAATAGAAATTTTGGAATAGTTTTCTTGGAATTTAGGCACTTGATATGATGGCTATGGTGTAGACAATGGCGACACTAGACCCCAAGTTCGTATGCCATCACTAACATACCCAAAAGGAAAAAGTATGAGGATTTTCATTCTCTCATAACATGTCCATTCCCAATATTACCGAGGTAGAAAAATGATTTTGCCAATATATGGACCAATTTATTGTCTCATGTAGGTTCCATACACTCCCTCATGTGAATGCAATATCTGGTATCTCAAATATGGACCTCAGTTCCAAACTATTCTACCACCTACAGAGCACAATATCGTGCTCTACAGTCTACACAACCTTAAATAAGAGAAAACAAGATCCATGGATGAAAGTCTATTTGTGAACAGAGTATCTTGAAAGAGGAATGCAATTTGTAGATGGTAAAACAACAATCATATGGCTCACAGTTTCCCAAACATAGAAAAAATGTGGAGTGATAGAAAAAAGTAGAAGAACTATGGAGTAGTGATTGAAGACCTAACAAACAAAGATCTAAGTTTGTACTGGATGTATATGAACAGATAAAATTGCTGGCATGGAAAAATGGATATCTGAATATTTACCTATCCTAAAGCTGAAAGTGATTCCATTTTCTCCCCATAAATTATTTTTGAATCAACATTAGAATAAAACTTATTAACAAACTAGATAGTTAGTCATTCTAATTTGGCCATGAGCATCAGTCTTTCACAGGAAAACCCTCATTCATGTTCAATCCAAATTCATATTAACTATATCATATAATTTTCTCCATTTTGTGCTCTGGTTTCATACACCATCTTATAGTTGGGACGTCATCCTTGTTCACCATGTGTCTGTTCAACAATTTTATATTTATTTCTTGAGATGAACAATGTTACATCCATTTATATGAATTTCATAAGCCTGCTTCATAACAATGACAAACTATTCTCATCGTCATCATCAAAGCCTTTTCGCAACTATTTTAAGAGACATACGTCATTTGATTTTCCATTTTAAAGTTGTTTTAGGACTTATTCAAACTAGAAAAAGAAAATATGGATTCTTAGTAATGTGCCATAGATCCAACCCACCATACAAATTCATTCTTTTTAAAAACAAAGAACTTTTTACAGATTCTCATACATTATTATCAGTGATAAGTATTTGATGAAGTCCATTAAGATGCCTGAAGAGAAAAGAATTATAAACTAAGCATTTCACTGAATGAAATAATAAAATGAAAGATTAATTTAGTATTCACACCTGATTTTTTCGTAGTTCCATTAATTGCTCCTGCAATAATGTTGTACAGGCAACAAAAAACACACGATAGTGAGTTTCCAAGACTTTCCCAAGGTGAGTGGCCGAGCTAGTAGAAGTACTGAGAAACTAGATGCACAAGCACATTTACAATCAATATTTACTGTTGTAAATGACAGCAATTCCATTTTAATAAAGCAATCAGATTACCTGTTTTTTCTGCAGTTCCATGTTCTCTTCTTTGAGTTTCTGCACTTCGGCTTCCAACTCCATTGTATATGCCTGACACAAGTTTAGAAGGACATAAAAAAACCGAAAATAAATAATTCAGCACCATATTTGATAAAGATTTCAAATGTTTCATTTTAAAAATTCAAAATATACACGCTTAAGCAAAAGTATTTTTTTTCCAAGTTATGTGCTTTCTTTCCTTACAAGTAGACTATGGGCATGCATAGCAAGGATTGAAGATTGCAGACATATCTTTCAAACTATCCATCCCCATTTTGACATGAAACAGTCGTGGTATACTTTCCTGGATCACTTTGATTAAGATGCAAGCCACATGATGAATCCATGGACATTTCCCCCTCTTATAATATCACCTCGATCAATAATATCAAACTGTAATTGCTATAATTGTCTTATTTTCAATTATCAGATATATGGTACATTATCTAAGAAGGGTGAGAACCTTAAACTTTCCCTTAGCCTGTCTTATGCCCAGGTAAAGGAGCTAGGTTGTATTAGGTAGGTAGCCAACGTAAAACTTTGCCCAAACTTATCATAAATCCTAAAAACCCCAATTAGCTGGGAAAAGGCTTTAACGATGTTTACATAGAGTGTTCACAAACTTGGCTGTCAAAGAATATCGTAGTTTCTGAAAGTGTGTGCGTCTCACAAAATTAATTGAGAAGACATGGTTACAAAGACAATCACTATCATATTCCCGTAACATGCAAGAATGGAAGAATTCCTCATAGAACTTGAACAAATATTGAAAACTTGAGAGATCATTATGTTAGCCGTCAAAAGATCTCCAAAGGTACGACCATGAAGATCATTTATGCAAAATTCCATTTATTTACAAACTAATGATAGAAAAAACTGTACCAATATAAAAACATTCAAAACCATATGGGGAAAACAAAAACTAGGCAAAGGAAGAAATCCCTTTTTTACTCTCAAAGAGAAAACCCATTTCAGGCAAAGAAATTATACACATACATAAAGTAATATGTCATAAAATAAACTAAATGATGTTTGTTTTCCAAAAAGAATTTACTGAAAACTAAGTTACCAATCCATAGAAGAAAGAACTAAAAAAGAAAAAGAAAAATGAAAGCATACGAGAAAATTGGAAGACCATAAATACCTGTTTGCGTGCCCGTGACCTTGCAGCTGATTCCCTGTTCTTTATCATACGCCTCTGCCGCCGCTCAACAACTTTCTCCACAGATCCACTACATTTCCTCCCTCTAAGGCCCCCACTGAAAATGTAAGGAGTGGGAGACAGAGAGGAATTGTCTCCATTGCTCTTGCCTAGACCATCAGAGGAAAGCTGAGCAGGAGAGCCTGCAGCTACATTCTTGGTTGCTCCTCCTCCTAACCCAACAAGGCCCAATCCAACCCCACCACCTTGGAGACCACCGCCATGCATAAAGCCATTCCCAACTGGAGCAGCTGTTCCAATGCTATTAACTGATGACCCATCACCAATACCTACCATTCCAACTCCAGGCCTTCCCTGAAGACCATTTCCAGCTCCCCCCACTTGAGATAAGCCAAGCCCGCTTCCCATACCAGGGTTCGTTAAGTCAAGGTTGTTGGGTAATTGCAGAGTAGAGGTGAAACCTACCTGTGATTCATCCCGGAAAAGATGGTTTTGAGGTTGTTTTTGCTGTTGTTGTTGGACTACAGGGCTCCTCCTATACTGTGAATTCAGCCATGATGCTTGCTGAGAAGGAGTGGGCTGGTTAGTGAGAGAATTGCTCTGTTGTACTCCTTGTTGTGACTTGTTATTGGAAAGAAGACCTCCTCCACCGTTTTGCCAAGTCGGTTGCTGGATCCCCAGAGCAAGGCCCCCACTCTTCCCAATTGGGTTGCCTCCGGAACCGCTGTACCAGCCATTGTTCATTGGGTTTGGAGCCGTCGACTGGGTATCTTCTCTCACAACCCCTGCTCTCACTAGAAACTCCTCCAAAGTTATTTCTCCTAGTGTTTGTTGCCTCTGTTGCAAAGCGGGCCCTGCATTGTTCCCATTGTTCCCTTCTTTACTCTCCTTGAATAAGTCTCTCCACACTTCATCCACCGTCTTTTGGCTAAGTGTCCGAGGCAAAGTGAGCGAGCCCTGCCTTTGCAAGCTAAACTGCCTTGGAAGATTACTGTTATTGCTACTGTTTCCTAGATTTCCTTCGAATGCAAGAGCCATGGCTTGGCTTTCTTCTGCAGTCCATATGTTTTTTAGGAACTCATCCATGTTCATGGAACCAAAGTCCTTACCCATGCCCCCTAGTGCATTCTGGAACTCATCGAGCGTCAGAGAGTAGACTGAAGGTTGCCGAGCCAGAGGATTACTACTATCGGCGTAGTTGTTGTTAACCATCCGAGAATTGTTCCCCTGTTGATGATAGGAATCAGGGCCATCTGGTTGAAGATTTCTGAAATTCATGTGAGAACCCATAATTAGTTACCTTGCTTTTTCTCTGCAAATTCAGGATGCTTCCTTCTTTCCTCTCAATCTTGTAATTCTTGTATCAGATGGACAGGACTCCGCAAGAGCAAGGAATAAACAAGTTGAAGACCCTGGATATAACTCAAAAATGGTCTAGAAATCACATCTAATAATGTCCTTGCACTTGAAAAAGCTTCACTCATTCAAACTCTACAACATGTCCTAAAGATGCTGGGATTTTACAGAGCAGGATTGGGAGAATATCTCCATTCGAAATACCAACAAATACACTTCCAATCCTCAAGAGAGAGCTTCCCGAGCTTACTTCACCAGCACAAGGAGACACAAAAACCGTAAACACTTCAGATCATACAATCATAAAGTTTAGAGAGAAATGCATCTAATTCCGCCTTAATCAACGAATTCGAAGCCCATGATATGGATAATGTAGTCATCCATCTCAGGTAGCCCCCAACAAATCCAGTTCTTCAAGTCACAGATCTAAAAAACCCAAACAAGAAACTCATTAACCTCATCAAATCCACTTCCCCTCATCAAAATCCAAATTTTCCATCCAAAGCAATCCCACCATCACACACACCTCAGTCCTCACCAAAAACAAAACAGAAATGAAAAAAGAGAGAGAACATAAAAAAAATTCACAATTCAAACTTCCAATAACGAGTTATGCAGTCAAAAGTGTTTCATGATAAGAGTCATAAAACACGGAAGTTGGGTGGCTCTGTCGTCGAAACCTGCATATCAAATCTTTGTAAACCTCAAACTACCATAGATGGAAAGGAGGAGAAAAAAATCAGAAAGTTTCAGACATGAAAATAGATACTGAGATTTCAAAAAATTATGAAACGAATGATCATACCACAAGAGGGGCGCTCATACCACAAGTCGAAAAGTGGGGCGGTGGCTCTGCGTTTCTTACTCCAAATATTGGATGGCCAGGTGTCGGTTTTGGCCATCCCGCAGGACACTAAATGTGCTTCATTATCCATTAATCGAGAACCCTAAGCGTACCAATAAATGTCACACACGTGGTCCAGTAGAAACGTTTCCCTGTCGCCTGTGATGTGACGCTCACCCAATAAGATGCTGCGGAGTGTCCCTTCTTCCACCATCCATTTCCTGAATCCCGACAACCACGTTTTCTTGCCTTCGCTCCTTGTCATTTTCTCTTACGAGTATGATATGATCCCGCGAGAGTATACTGAAGAACAACTCCCTCGTAGCTACTTGGGAGATTATTTCGAATTCAAGATTTTGGGATCCATCTCATTCTTGTTTTTGATGAATTTTTTATTTTTATTTTTAGTTCTTGGTCTAGATCTTTTCCTTAAAAAAAGTAGACAACTTTTGTGTGCTATTGAGATGTCATTTTTTTTAGGTATGTAGAGAGTGAGAATTTAGGGTTTTTTTTTTTTTTTTTGTGAGGTTAGTAAAGAGGTCATAAACTATGATCCCTTTGGACTATAGTTTATTTCTACTCCCTTGTGAACAAACCTATGGGGAGATTTTTTCCAACCTGAAATTTTGGGAACAACCAAAAAATCACTAGATGATTATTGTAAAAAAAAAAATTTAAAATTTGAGTTTTCTAATACTTAGATTATACCCTCTACAAATTAGATGGTGTGTATTTAATCTCGATGCATTTTTTTTTTTTTTTTTTTTCAAGTGTGCATAAGGTGCAGTTAGGAAATTTTTCTTATTAAGGTTAATGTGTGGGTTTAAGAGGTTACATCCTAAAATTTAGGATCCTAAAATTAATTATAGGTGGCGGTTTTACCCGAGGGAATAAATGAATATCAATACTCATGCAGGAATATAATACCTTTTAGCTCTAAAAATTACAATTTGAGATCTAAAAATATATTCATAGCACAAAATTTGACCGAAACAGTATATATTCTCGTAGGATTAAAAGGTCTTTTACTTTTTAGTTTATATTTTTTTAATTTTTAAAAATTAGGTTTTAATTTTTAAAAAATTGGTACGTCCTGAAGATCTGTTGAACTTTGGCAGTTTGTTTGGGTAATTCATTTAGATAGAGGGTGAGGAGAAGTGTGAGAGGACCCAGACCCTCCGCGTCTCATGGAGAAGCCCTTTTCAAAGGTTGAAAAGATAAATAACCAATGCTTTCGTTTCCCCGTAACAAGGTTGCCCGGTGTTGCCCTCACGATAATGTTTATTGTGCTCGATGTCAAAACAACGACCCTTTTTTGTTTTTTTTGGGTAATTTAGTGGGGAGGACGAGCCTCTATTTGTTTTTTAAATCGTTAGTAGTTTTTTAAAGTGTTAGGTAATAATGAAAACTTTGAAATAAATAATGCTACCATCATGACCTCAACCTCATTTTCAAAATAATCTTCCGTTGTTAACAACTGATAGCTGGTCCTAACCTCTTTTTGTATCAAGTAGACTGTATCAATCATTGGCTCACAAATGATTTATAAAAATGAAATGTTTAGTAGCAACCACACACTCTAGTCACTACGTTGTGGTTTCTATTGTCACTTACACCATCCCAGTAATACCTTCAAAAAACTAATTCCAACACCTTCAAAAAGCTAATTCCCAAACTATTTAAAAAACCCGGGTACGGGTATGTCTTCTTCACTGAATTATGTAAAAAAAAAAAAGAAGTTGCAACTTTAAAATGTAGAATTAAGGTGTGCCTCAAAAATCCATCAAAAAATGCTATTTTGATATTGGAAAGATCACCTCGACAACGAGATATATGGAAATGAAAAAGGAAAAAAGAGAGAGATTTCGTGTCTAAAAAATAGTTCATCTTGCCGTATATTATCTAGAAGATCTATTTTTAAATTTTCATATGGTTATAGATCTACTTGATTTGAATTATTTTTGGAGTTTAAAATTTTATAATTAGAGTTGAAAATAGATTTTTAGGCATCCTAAGAATTTTTTTCACCAAAACTATATCTTAAAATAAAATTTGGAGGTGCCCCTACTTTGATTGTTTAAGATTACGACCTTATGCAAATCACACCCTTTGTAAAATGTGGCTAAATTTAATAGTAGCGTACTGAGCAAAAGCCTTCAAGTTCTATGATATCCCTCGTCTACTTAGTACTGCAATGCATTGCATATCCAGAATGTCTGCTTGAGTGCTTTCACCCTAGGTCCTCCTGGTTGAGTTGTTTCGGTAACAAGCAATCTACTCAATAAGGATGGAATTGAAATATTGAATCTAATGTACATATTTGTACAAATTAAAGAGAGAGAGCCATGACTACTTTTTTTTAATGATGAACCATGACAACTTTTTTTTTTTTGGGATGTTATAAGATAAAGAAAAGAAAGGGAAAGGGAAACGGACAAAAAGAAGAAGCATGGCTCAGTAGAAAGATGGCATTAAAGAGTGGCTAATTTAGCTAGACTGTCAGCTTCTCCATTTTTCTCCCTATTGATGTGCTCAAAGATGATCTCTATGATTTGTAGGCTTAGCATTATTTCATCCATGATGGGGGTCAATTGCCATGGCCAAGATGAGGGCTAGCGCACCACTTAATAGCATTTGCAGTGTCTCCCTATATGATGATGTGCATGTTCTTCATAGAGCTTTCAAACACCTTCTTTAATTGCCCTCAGTTTTGCCTCATTGATGTAATAGAATTTGAGCTGCCCATGATGGGTGGAGATGACATTCCTATGTGAATCACTCAAGATGCCTCCATAGCCAGCTTTTTGTGCTTCTGTACGAACACTCCCATCAAAAGGCAACTTCAACCAGCCGTCTTGACGTGGTAGCCCCTCTGCTGATTTGATAGTCTCTTTCATCAATCAGCGAAATTGATGAAAAATAACTCTTTCGGGTAACTGTTCAGATTTGAAGAGACCTATGCCCCGTAAACCATGAGCCTCGAGACTGCTCTTGTTAAGGTCTGTTGATGTTCTGGAGTGTCCCTCAAGTACTCTTGCATTCCTCTCCTTCCATAAAGTCCATAGAAGGGCTGCGAGTAAGATTTGCCATAGGTGACCTATACTCTTTGGAAAGGCTGGGTTAAGAATGGATGCAAAAAATTGATGAATTGTCTCAGGTATGACCCATTGCCACTTAAATTGCTTAAGACCCAATCGCATAAACTTTTGACAAAACGACAATGTAGAAAAAGATGGTTACTATTTTCTGCATCTTGTTTGCACAGGATACACACATTCACAAGTATTTTGCCCGCGTTTCTGAGTTGTTAGCCAGTCAGCACTTGGTTCCGTTCCAATAGCCCTATGAAATCTCTTACGCTTCTGGGAGCCTTAATGCTCCAGACTCATAGTATTTCTAGTATTCAATCAATGCTTATCTCGTGATATAAAGATTTGAACGAGAAAGTGCCACTGGGTTTTAGCTCCCAAATGATGGAATTCTATCTACGAGGATAATAAAAGATTGAGTAGAATTTCTGCATCAAAGATATATATTGATGTTCTGTGGTTGCATCAAATCTTCTCAAAAGTAGTTCAACACTGCATCAAAAGTAGTTCAACACTGCAAGTACAATTAGACTCCAACCATGTGACCATTTATGAGAGGTAAGCTTGTACGGAGGTTGACCATCTATAAAGTTCCGGATATTACATTTTGAGAGAAGTATTGCCCAACCATTTTGCTGACTAGAACTTTGTCTTATCACTTGTGCCAACTCTCATTCTGTTGAACATGAGGAAAAGATTCCTTTCAGAGTCTATACCTTTCCAAATCATCGATGAGGAGTGTCCATTGCTGAGTTTCTTTGGTACGATCCATGTTGATCTTTTCTCTATTTGGATATATTTAGCCTTTGACATTCCACTGGATGTTCTTGACTGATTCTCCAACGCTACTTAGTTAGCAAGGCATCATTCATAAGTTTTAGTCTACAGATTCAGCATAGCCACTCTACCGAAATTGTTGCATCAAGGCCTCTAATATTTTAAGGATTGAGATTGGTGCTCAGTAAAAGGAGATGAAATAAGGCGTGTTGGTTAATGTAGAGTTGGTTAGTGTGATTCTACCCCCGAAAGAAAGATATCTTCTCTCCCAACCATCTAGATTGTAATCAAAGCGCTCTATAATTGGACCCCAAGTTGATTTAGGCAGTTTCCCACCCGCAAGGGAACTCCTAAATATTTGGAATGAAGTTTTTCAATATCATAGCGTAACCATTCAACGTAAATATTCAATTCACTTTTTGAATAGTTGATGCCTAAAATTTTTTATTTTGATAAATTTATACTGGCCCCTGATATGAGTTCATAGTACTTAAGGACAACTAGATGTGTTGCACCTATTCAAGGGAGGCCATAGTAAGGAGTAGAGTGTCATATGCATATTGTAGATATGAAATTGGAGTCTTGTATCCATGGACCTTGAGGTCTTCAATTAGGTACGAGTTGACGAAACATCTCATCATTTGGCTAAAAGATTCTTCCATTAGTGTGAATAGGAATGGCGATAGAGGGTCTCACTGTAAACCTCTCATGGCTTGAAAATAACCACAAGCCTTGCCATTCATTGAGATAGAAAGGTGAGTAAAGGAGACACAACCTTTGATCCATTTTCTCCATCTCAAACTAAAGCCCATTAATCTCATTATGTCATCCAGATAGTCCCACTCTACCCTGTCATAGGTTTTTCCAAAGTCAAATTTGCATAAAAAGTCCTTTAGTGGCATTGCTTCTGGTAGAATAAACCACCTCTTGAGCCACTAGTATACCATATGTAATTTTCCTTCCTTTGATAAAGGCAGATTGAGGCCCCTCCACCACTAAGGAATTCATCTTTTTCAACCTATTTCCCATAATTTTAACTTGGATTTTGTAGGTTGAAGTTACTAAATCGATGGGCTTAATATCTTATAATATATCCAATTGCCTCTTCTTGGGGATGAGGGCGATGAAGGTGAAGTTTAGGTCTCTATTGACAGTAGCATCGGAATCGAATTCATGAAAG